GGGGGGCTGCAGTGATGGTTGACTTTCTACAACTTTCTCCCATCTCCTGACTGCATCTCTGGAGCTCAGCCACAGTCATCTTTGGGTTCTTCTGTACCTCTCTCACCAAGGCTCTTCTCCCCCGATAGTTCAGTTTGGCCGGACGGCCAGCTCTAGGAAGGGTTGTGGTCGTCCCAAACGTCTTCCATTTAAGGATTATGGAGGCCACTGTGCTCTTAGGAACCTTAAGTGCAGCAGAAATTTTTTTTTGTAACCTTGGCCAGATCTGTGCCTTGCCACAATTCTGTCTGTGAGCTCTTCAGGCAGTTCCTTTGACCTCATGATTCTCATTTGCTCTGACATGCAGTGTGAGCTGTAGGGTCTTATATAGACAGGTGTGTGGCTTTCCTAATCACGTCCAATCAGTATAATCAAACACAGCTGGACTCAAATGAAGGTGTAGAACCATCTCAGGGATGATCAGAAGAAATGGACAGCACCTAAGTTAAATATATGAGTGTCACAGCAAAGGGTCTGAATACTTATGACCATGTGAGATTTCAGTTTTTCTTTTTTAATAAATCTGTAAAATAATGTCAAACATTCTGTGTTTTTCTGTCAATATGGGGTGCTGTGTGTACATTAATGAGGAAAAAATGAACTTAAATGATTTTAGCATATGGCTGCAATATAACAAAGAGTGAAAAATTTAAGGGGGTCTGAATACTTCCCGTACGCACTGTAAGTGGCCACAGTGGAGTTGCACAAGCCAGGAGAGAGCATTGCTATTGATCAAGGATGCTGCTGCAATGCAATATTAAACAATTTATGGGGAAAACCACACAGAAATGCTGCTCAGTATACCCATTAGTGTTCATTACAGTCTCTGAATAGCAGAAAATTAACCATACACATGCCTGTGTAAAATGTCACCTAAACCACATTTAAATTCTGCTTAAATGTATATTAATAGTCAATTTCACACACACACAATCACATAAAATAACACAAAAATATGTAAAGCCAAAACATGAACCACTATGTTTTAGGTAAAGAAAGAACTGATATGTAGCACAAAGGAAAAACACAGCTAAAAGACTGGTGGAGCAGAAAACTCCAAAATACCCCCATCATCCCCTTCTCCCTGTCTTATGCACTAATGCTATCCAGGCTCTCTGGAGACACAAGGCTTAATTGCATGCTGATTTGCATAATTGTGCATATTAATGCTGTTTCCTTATGAATATTCATATTTTGTCTTTGATTTTTGCCTAATTAAAAAAATGTGTGTGAGAAAGCAAAAGAGAGTGAGCGGGTGGAAGAAGAAAGCTGGGGGGGACAAGAGTGAGAGGGGTCTGGGGGAGATCAGCAGCCTGGCTCACGAGTGAGAATGAGTGATGAGACTAACAGAGCAGTGCAAGCACCTACACACGCTGCGACAGCCATGATCTATTGAGCTGATGCCAGTGGCATGGAGAATCAGGCAAGCAGAGAGGAGAGGGGACCTCTAAAGATCATCTTCGCTCACTGTCAGAACAGTCACCATGTCCAATGGTACAGGACACTGGTGACGGGCTCACAGCTAAATAAAGATGACAGACATTATATGAAGACACTTCAGCCAGGGCTTGGTGCCAGGAGAAACAATACCAAATTAGTGAGATACAAACGCACTTTAGAGGAGTGACATCAACAATGAGGTAGTCTGTTCCTAGTGTTGCAATGTACACAAGTACTTTCACATTTCAACTCCAAGACACTTCATCCAAAACTGGCAACAGACCACATGCATAATCACATGTACTAAACACAAATATGCAATAGGTAACCTACAAAATCACACACACTGTCACTGTCAATGCTAACCTGCCCAGCCAACAAGTCGATTTAGAAAAGGAGCTTCATAATCATCACAGCTATTTTCAATACACCACTCATCTGCCACTGAAGCCTCCATTTGGCCAGCAGGGGTGCAGGGGATAGAGCGAAAGCATAGCTGTGCAGGAAAAGTCTGACAACATTGTTTCACACTTACTGGAGTAATTAACTCAGAGGCAATTAAAACAAGGTGGAGAGCTGCTGAGGTGACACTGACACTCAGCCAGACTAGGAGAGCACAGCCATGCCAGAAGAGAGATCTTTGTATTGTTGTTCATCTCTTCTCGTGTGTAATAGTAAACAAACTGACAGTTGCCACAGGCAACCAAAATGATAAAACAATACAAAGTAGTCTTTAAAGTGACCCACTGTGGTTACCATGCTGTTTAATAAAATGTTTTAAAAGCTGGGTCATATCTTACCGTGGACACTCTATTTGAGATAATATTTTGTGGCTGGGTATGTTGCAATGATGCTCTTGTACACACGAGTTTTATAGTCAGATTATAAAAGCAAGATATGTACCATTTAAAGTAGGTCAGCGATATACTCCTACATCAATTATTTTGACCAGTAACAATATTTTTAGCACTTTGTTTTAAACCAACCCGTGACCTAAAAAGTTTGATCTAAACACCAACTGCCTCAAGCAGCTTGTTTCACTACATTAAGTATATTTAGCTAAAGGACCAATATAGAACTGACTAATCTGGGCTTATTTCATGATTTCCTGCACTCAAGCTTTTCATTTCGCTGGACGGCTGACAGTAGTAATACAACAGTCAATGTGCTAACACACCTCCTTTGGAACTTTTACAGGATACAGTTTTCTGCTATGCTTGCATCAACTAATAATACAAAACAGTGAAACTTATATTTCCAGTACCTTGGATTACAAGTATTGCTACACATGTTAAAATGTTTTCCCTCTGTACTGACAAGTGTTAGGAAAACAAATAATGCTATAGCAAAGAAGGCAACCAAACAGTTAATGTCAAGGTGCCCTTTTAGTTCGCAGTTCATACCTACAGGACATCCCAGACTACATGAAGACAGCATCAGAGCAATTGAGAACTCTAGCTCATGCCAACAAATCTAAGATCAAAACTTTTAGGTAGTGGATACTTGCATAAATGAAGACAGGCTCAATTAGTTTGCAGCTAAACTGTTGATACTTGCTGTGACCTTGCAATTCAATGACAAAGACGAACGGTCCTAGCAAACCGAAGCCACATAAAGCTTAAAAGTGAAGTTAACTTTTGAACTGTCAAGTGACATAATGGCAAAATAGAGTTAGGATGAAATATACACAAATAAAACATGCAGATCAGAAATGTAAAGCTAAGGGTGTGTATGTAAACAACAGGTTCTCTGGACATATATCACATCCATCCAGATTTTGGCATGGCTAGCGTGAATGTACTTCCAAAGAACATCACATGGCAAGACAAATACTGACTCACAACCAGAGCCCAGAAAAATATTTATTTTCTGAGCCACAAAGCCTTCTCCCAGCTGCAGGATTTGAAAACATCTAATTTATTTGAAGGAAGCCACTCTCCTTTGAGATTTCCTCTTGGAGGGCTTAGATATTTCAATTACAATACACTAATGCACATAAAAATACATGACAACAGAGAATGTGAAGCTGTCGTAAAACCATGTTGAATGGTGGGTAAATGTACCATTTGGGAAGGATCTCACTCATTACCCATCAAAGAGATATACAATATATACAACTATATGTTAGTTTAAAAAAATTAATTCTATCTCATACAGCTACATACAGTAGTGGATACATCCTCTACGACCAAACATTCACTTTCTAAGGTTCCCACTCTCTTAAAGAAAACAATTTCCAAGACATTTTCAATGATGTAATGCTGTGATGTCAACTGGGGATCACATCTAACAAGTTCCTCTGTGTGGAAGTCTCTTAAATCATATGTGTTAATCTATGATGATACTTTATAGATGCTTTATGACCAATTGATTATTGGCGGCTGTTGCACTCTCCCAATATCTCTCTCTCACGCATGCACAGATGTTCAGTCCCACAATGCTACTATGAATCTGTGGGCTTTATTTTCTAGAATTTTCTTGTCTCTCGCTCTACAGTCTCTTTCACATCACAGGTTAAGCTGGGGAAAAAAAAGACTATAGAGCTTAACTAAAAAAAAAAAGCAATCTGACTTGACCCTAACAACAAACATTTTGTCGGTTTTTTGTTTTACCTAATCATCTTATAATACTGTCACTTCAGTTCTACTTTCTTTCTTTCATACTGTGTATGAATTCACAGCAATAAAAGAAAGAACAGTATGCAAACACCATAAAAGGTTTTGCCACAAACTCAACTGATTAGCTTCTCGCCTGTATGATTTCACATGAGTGTCTTCAGACCTTATAACTGTGCATGAACTATGCATAAGCTTCCAACTTCTAACTGAAGCTGTGTGTGACCTTCTGTGCTATTTTCACCCTCACCGCATCGCACCGGATAGCGGCATCATCTAGCAAAAGCACTGCGTCAACCAGTCACATATGGGGCACAATTGGGATGTGGACGCCAATGGGAAGGAGACTCTTATCTTGTTAGCATGAGCATTCACCTCTCTTCAGTGTCAACTCTGGGCAACTGTTTGTTTACATTTTTGGCTCCATTAAAAATACTATAAATTAGCTGATTGCCACTCCTGCTAGTAGTGTACTCATAAACATAAAGACATTAAGGCAACTTTCACCAGAATACTTTGCTAATGAAAACAACTTTATATATTACTATACTGTATTTTCACTATATTGTGATGATCCTTAGACAAGCTCTAAAGCACCTTTTTTCCTATAATTTCTAAATGGATTTGTGTAGGTTTACTGGCAACGGACACTGCAGAGGATATCCTCGGGAAGTGCCTACAGAAGATACAATATTTCAAGTTCATATGTTAAGATTTGACTTGTATCTCCATGTTCAACTCAAGAACACACTTGCCCCTTAAATGTATCATGCCCTTCCAACTTTAGGCACTGTTCTACCTAACGTCCATTTCCATTAATGGCCATGCAGTATTAACAAGCCATCCAACTGCCTGACTAATGTTAAAGCAAACAATAGCCATGCATATGTTGGAGCTTTAACTGTTAAACAAATTTAAAAGTAATAACTAACCAATAGTTTTTAAATATTTGCTGTTCAAGTATCAAGCTACTCACAGTTCTTAGTTGTCTGGCTACATTCCATTGTGATTTTATATGCCCAGTTTATTTGATTCACACCGTCTTTACCAACATGATGCATTCAAAAGCCAATAGCTTAAGGTCTTCTGACCTTACAAAAACATGAGCTTAGTAAAAACAGGCAATAAACTTCTACCCTTGCTATTCTAAGCTCATCTCACACATTGCCCTTATTTCAGCTGTCACCTCATCCCAAGATCTGACAGTTTGCTCTCAGCAAAATGAAAATACAAAAATGTGAAAATTATTTTTCCAGGATGATGCAGGACACTGTACAATTTATCTCAATATCTATGACTTTTCCATGACTGGAAAACTGGTAAAAAAAAAAAAATGAATTGAAGGTGTTCCAGGAGACATGGAAACCCCGACTTTGGTATTGAGTTTGAACACAGACAGGACTGAAATTGATTCATCTGCAGTGTTTGTGTCATATGCTGACAGTTCGTTAGCTACCGAACAAAGAGCTGAGATCAGGGTGCAGTCATTTTTCAGTCTGCTGCTCTTGTAGACGGGATCTCTAGTTCCAATCCGCTGCAAGTTAGCTACAGTCAGCGAAGGTTATCTATTCTGAATTACCACCGTCAGTAAAGTGAGATCTAAACAATTTAAGCTATTTTTGAGCCAAACACAACAAAAACATTTGCAGGTAAATGCAGCGCCTCATTACCAACATGGCCCCCCCTATCCAAACATTCAACACAGCATGATGTACCTTCACATTCTCTATACAACAGCCATGTGCAGCTATACAACTGGGAATGCACAATTCAAATGCATAGCTGATAAACTAACCACCAGAAGAAACCATGTGAAAATTAACATTATTTGTTGTGATTTATCAGAAGTGAGCTTGTCATGTTCTGTGTAGTGTGTGTGCCTGCCTTTGTTTTACTTACATTATGGGGACTGAAACCTGTTAACACACTCACATTGTGGGGACGAAATCACTGAATTTTTGGGTGGCAACATGGTTTAAGGTTAGGGTTAGGTTAAGTATAAAATCAGGGTTAGGTGTTAGGCAAGTAGTGGTTATGGTTAAGGTTAGGATAAGTCTTTAGAAAATGAATGTAAGTCAGTGTAAAGTCCCCACGAGGAATGAAAACACAGCAATGTGTGTGTGTGTGAGCATGAAGGGGGGCTGGAAAAGTTGCCAGCAGCTGCAGAGGTGACAGAGGGGACGCCTGCCTGAAAGCTTGTGAGCTTGGCCAGCTCCCACCACACACCATCACACTCTGCCTCCCCTACTTCTCAAACATCCCATACTTCTTGCCAGTCCTCTTCTCTTTCCTCTCCCCTCCACTCCACTCAGCCCAACACACCCTTCCACACACACACAGGCCACTGAGGAAGGGAGAAGGATGCCTAATGCAATTAGCACCCCCTCTGAGCACTTCGAGGTGGTCTGGTGGGCTACTAGGCTGCCCACTGCCGTTCCCGCACTGCTGACTCCCTGAATATACAAGCTGCCTAAGTGAGTCATAGATGGGCATTGTTCTTTAATGATCATAAACTCTATATTAAATAAGTTTTCTGGCCACAGTCAAGCAGCATTTTGAAGTCGTAAGCATTCTTCTTTTGGGGTTGACTTTCAAAATATTGTCCTGTCAACCGCTGCATCTAAAAATACAATAAAAATCATGTACACCCAATCTAAGCTTCCAGTTTTGTCCTTTTGTCTGTGAGTTTTCTTTCTCACATAGACTGTATGGTGTATATTACATGTTACAACATGACGCAGATCAACAACAAACTCCTGAGCTGGAATGTGCAGATGTTAGCATTTTGACTCCCAAGTGCTATTAGAAGGTACCTGCAGCTCTCCCAAAGTTAAATGCAACAGCTTTAAGTGTCACATTAAAGTGGGTGTCAATAACTGAGAGCCACACGTTAGGAGATGAGGAGGGGGGAAGAAATTAACTCCTCACTGCTTAGTAATTGCCTTCTGTAATAGAAACAAACAGAATCCTGCCTCCCACAGGCTGATCCCTCTATTCAACAAGCTCTCTCTTCCACTCTGGCCACTCACTGCATGCTGGGCCAGTTTAAGAGGCTGCGAGTCGGGAGTGAGGGACATTGTCTCAGATTCAAGCCATTTCCTGCAGATCAGTGGGGGTAAGAGCCCTGTGCCGTGTTGGGGGAGGAGTATTTTACACTTCAGGGTGGGGGAGTCATTTCATGTCCATAAGCTTCCCTTTTTGCCTTTGTTCCTCAGCGGCCAAGTTCTCACTCTGGGGAACGCTGAGGAGTGTGACTCGATTTCACACGCCAGGTTGGCAGGGTGACAGAGAAACAAAAGTAACACAACTCACTAATAACATTCAGGAAGAGAGAAAAGCTCACTCAGAGGCTTCAGGTGCGTGACAGGGTTAAATGGCAGCCAGTTTACATTTTAAAACAGTGAAATAAAGACTATCTGAAGAAACAAGGGAAATGTGGAGATAGATGTAAAAATAAAACTCACAAAGACATTAACACATCTGCACACAGAATATATTTTCATCATTAAGAAAGATATGGGAAGCCAAAGTCTATGTTTTCTGTGTCAAAGCTACATTAAAGACATGTAAAGAGCCAAGAGCTGTAGTCTAAATGGATCTCTTATTTTCTATACAACCATCAAGGGATCGCCACATAAACAGGCCTGGAGGAGGCTGTAGCATGGTGCAAAATGGTAACTTCTTTAAAAACTCTTTACACTACACAATCCATTACAAACAGTAGGATAAACAAATACAAAGTCAATCAATTTCCAACATTTTTTCTTTGGTGAAAAATTGTTCCAACAAAAAGTATGTTAATTAAACAACACTGTTTCTTAAAATTTGTTTAGCCGTTTGACTTTTTGAAATGCCATTTTGTAAAGCTTTGAGCACGACAAACAATATTCACCTCTATTATACCTATTGAGGCGGTGGCAGAGACCTGAAAACCTAGGCAAATAAAATATCTGCACACTGGAAACCACAAAGATAAATGAATACATTTTTTGTGATTTAGGTTAGGTGACCTTTGAAGTCCTGCCCATCAGCTGTAAATTGAGAAAAAGTTCATCTATACTCCATATATATTGTTGCTTTGCCAAAGCCTACATGCAGCCACATGAATATCAGTTAATATCACATGGGGAAACAACTGTTTTCATACACAATTTGACACAAAGATGAAAGCCAACATTTGACAAGACATGGTCCATACAAAGCAGCAACTCTGCTTTGAAATGTATGTATGTTTGTACATTGAGCTGAAAGGCGTACCTGATCCACCAAACTGAGTGCTGGCCAGTGTCATTGTCCTGTTCTTCCCATTGGCTACTGGAGGCGCAAACATCTACAAACAAAAGAAGAAACATACAGTAACTAACAAAGCAAAGGATGGCACACTTCACACATAATAAATGACATTACACACAACATTCAGTTGTTGTGTTGTTGTGTGTGTGTGTGTGTGTTTCCCTTAGATGCATTTCAGTTTTGGATTAGTCCAAACTTTATCATATGCTATTTAAAAACAAGTGAGTCCACCAATGATAGGACAAACTCTAGTGTAACAGTAAAACATGGTACTAAATGCTATAACAATAAGGTATTTATTTACAAAATACCACAATTGAATAACAAGTAGTCTCTTTAACAATGCGAAGGTAGTTTGTTTTCCAAAACAAATATACAGTATTTTGAAATTAAACCTTACATACCTTTGAGACATTCAAAACCTAGAGTATATAGTAGTTGAACTTTCAAAACATGAGGCTGTGGGTTTTGTCACTGAGCCACTGTGGGCTTTACAATGAAGCGATGGTGTGGTCTAAATATCTGTGACGGCGACGTGGCCAAACTATACTTTACAAACCACATCTTTCTGTAACTAGGATGCCCTAACATGATCACATGGGACGTTTTATTTATTTATTTTAAACAGGGCAAGACTAAAGCGCTCCAACAACCAATCTGAATACCATCTTTGTTTCCTTTAGGTTTGGATGCAGATATCAGAAACACGTTTATTACACATCAAATTTAACTTGCACTTTCGTGACTGACCACAAGATAAATATAGATGAGAAAATTTTCTGGTCACAGTGTTTGACAGTTTCTCACCCAATTATCAATGTCACATTAGGAGAGAACAGCTGCTGATACATTTTGGCATCTTATCAAGCTTGCTCTTTTCCAACAAATCCAACTGTCACATGAGAACCTCCCCACAAAACTCCTTCACGACAAAGAGTTTTTCTTTCATGGTATAAGGTTTCCTTTAACCACCAATAGCACTGCTGAGAATATGACTACATTACCAAAGCCGCTGACTGAATTGTGCAAGTCGATATGCTGGAGCTCTACCAACAGTATTCATGGACAGAAATGATTTTCAAATAATAAATAAATAAAGCTTGTTCTGCTGTTCCCCTGTGTACAGATCATTATAAAATGTCAATGATTCTTGCAATGACATAAACGCTTCAATATTAATCAACTGTACTCAAAAGAAATCTTATGGCACATTAGGTCTGCTGACAAATATTCATTAGGAGTCACAGTTTGGAATGACTGTTGTGCTCCGTATAAAATAATTATCCAGAGCTGGTAATTTAACTTTACCAGGTCTTCCATTGACTTGGGGGAAAAACTAATACAGCTCCATTGAGCCTATGAGATGTTCATGTCAGTGTAAAGCTCAACAAAGGCTTCACAACAAATGAAACACGGGTAAATAAAAGCAGAACAGAATACCTCTATTCACTTTGTAGATACTGTCTAGAGGATACTTCTGTGAAAATATCCTTCTAAAGACTAAAAATGTCAAAAAGAAATGCAGAAGCTGTCTGCTCAGCCCACTTCATACATCACAATTTTGAGCAGGGATGACATTTTCTCTTGTTGTTCTTGGTTCTCTATTTACATTTTCTAGTGGATCCCAGTTCATCCCAGTAATGATCCATTTCATTTGTGCTGTATCTGTGCATCATCTACCAGGCATGGGATGATATGACTTTTTCTTGATAAGATCTGAAGCATGATATGGCGTGTACAATCAAAAATTCAATGACTAATGTATGACTAGTTGTGGAATACTTGTGCTTTATACCCCCCACCCCCCTTTTCTAGCACTGGTTTGATCATGTAAAGAACAACCAGATATACCGACTTACTGTTAGGCTACTTACAAAAAATACAAAGTCGCTAGTGTATGGAGACCATGTCGATGTACACATCACTGTAGAAAATGATACACATTGTGACGTTTCTGTATTGTGATATATTGTCTCATCCCTAAATGAGTAATCTATATTTTAAACCTGAATTCATTGTCACCTGTCACGTTAAGGTAAAGCAGTATTTTACTTGCACTGTTCTGATGTAATCAGCACTACCTCTGGATGCCACAAACGATGGATGGAGGTATCTTAAGGTGACACAACTGATTGTTAGAAAAAGATTTCAAATTTTCTCTTACAGATGTTGACAAATTAAGCTTCCCACTGATTTTCTCTCTTCACCTCTTCCCCTGCTTCATTCATGCAGGCCTGCAGCTCTACTCAGCCCAAATCCAGACCTATATCACACTCTTTAGACCTTTCTCTCAGTGCCACCCACAGCCACCCTAACTGCTCTCCCACTCTCTTACCGCACTGAAATCCAGGAGGTCGCTGAGTTCCTTGTCAGTTTCCACTGCAGCCATTCTTTGCTGCTGTTCGTTCATAACCTTCAGTCTCTAATAAACCCTACGAGAGAAATTTACAGATACAGAATTTTAGTGGCACTAGCAAACACAAAGACAAGTTACATATAGCTCTTAAAAACAGGGAGGACAATGATAATGAATGATTCAAACTACTCTTTGCTTTATCACAATCCATATCTTATCCCCATGAGATGATTCACATTGGCAAGCTGCAAGTCTTCCATAAGATACCGATGCATGGGTGCAACATGTCAACAATTTTCTCACCAGTGCACATGTCCAGGTTACAAACAAATGTTTGTATTTGTGAAGTTAAACAGGAAAATTAATGACTGTCCTCTAAATATCAGCTGGCCTAAACATATAGCTCAAATAACAACCACGCTGAAATATGGTCCATGGAGTAAGATCAGGCAACAGGATGCTACTGAATACTATATACACTTTCAGGAGGGTGACTTAAAAATGCTACTTTCTATTAGACACTGCCGTGAAATAATGAATGCTCTGCCTTTAGTCAAATCACTTCCAAGTAATGACTTTAAAAAAGTGTCTTTCATTTTACACAACTCTGGCAAAAAAAAAACCCAAAACACAACCATATGTCGATCATTGCTACATAAAAGAGAATGTAATACATTTACATTTACAGACATAATTGGGACTATTGTTAGCCCAAGGAAACAGGGGTGAAAGGCAGAGCTAATGACTGTATGCAAACACATCATTACCAAATTACCATATGTCAACTCAGAAAGAACCTTGTCAAATGACACAGTGAGCATGAATACCGGATTTACCCTGCGTTTTACATTGCAGCACAAGCCCGAGGCCGCTCTCTGATGCTAAGCAGTGGTTCTGCAAGCTTCACAGGGAACTAGTAGTAAGGGGAGCAAGCGGAATAGAGGCACTTGGACACCAACAGGTGGTGTGCTTTTACAGCCTCTTTTGTAATTCAGCACTAACATTAATTGATGCAATTACAAAAACAAAAACATGGATGTCTTAGAGGAAACGCATGTCATAAAATGGAAATAAACAAAGGTAACTCAGAACATTTAAACTTATGTCAAAAGATAAATTCAGAACCACTTGAAAGACTAACAAACAAAAACATTAGGCTAAATGTAATAAATCATCTTCTACATGTATTAAATTAACCCAAGTCACAAAAACTGTGAAGTCCCAAGTCTAGTGAACCCAGGCGAGCTAAACTAATTTAACCTTGAGTCAAGGAAAAGGAAGTGAACAAACCTAAGTGTAAATAGTCTATCAACAATGGCTGTAGGTGCTTTTCCAAACTTTTGGATAAGACGGTCGGTTAAGGGCAAATCAGGTCATACACTTCACTAAAATAAACTTAACATTCCCAAATAATGTTTAACCACTGAGGTAAATGGAGCAGAGCACATGGAGCAGCTTAATATAACAAAATGGCATCTTTAGCTACTGCTGGATCAATATTTGAAGCAAGCAGATTAGAGGTCTTTGTCACCCCACACAAGGCAGAGAAGGCAGGCTCCACAAAAGAGCATGTACTTTGAGTGAAGCAAGCCACTCAGCTTAACACACACCTCACATCAGAAACACAGTATTCCATATAAATTCATGAGAAGAAAACACGACTCAAACTTTAGCGTGTCAGCTTTTGATCGTGACTTTCAAACAAAATAATGGGCCAAATTAAGTTCCTTTCACCTGCCTAACGAACGTGTAATTACGCGAGAATAACTGTTTTTGACACTAAAAACGAAAGCACAATTCCGTGTACACATACATGTGTTTTTGCTGTTTTTAAGCCATACATCAAATGTTAAAATACAAGTCAAGTATCTGGAACACGAGTTTATGCCAGTGATATTACTACGGGAACAGCAAGGGCGGTTGCACTGATCAGAAAAGCCACATTCAACTGTTGATTCAAATACTGTCCGAAAAAAAAAAAACGAGTGTTAATGTCTTGTGCCAAAAGCCTTTTTATTTATAACTACCGGGTCAAATAGTTTATAACATTGACAGTAAACATCTAGGGCACCACAGGATGTAGGTTGCACATTATTTGATCATCTCCGCCAGGCCACATCCAGACCAAGCTATTGCTGACAACTAACCCATTTACCATTTATTTTGAACTGACATCATCCTCAGGACTAACAAAACCATAATCTCCAGTTGCGCCTTCCAAGTGAAAACTACATGTGTGTAAAACAAGTACAACGGGCCCTGACCTCGTAGAATAAAGAGCAATGGCCTGAACTTCATGCAACAAATACTGAGCTCGTTCTTCCACATATTAGGGTTCAAGTCGTGCATTATGAGGGAGTCCGGTGGGGGAGACGGTGGGGGTAGGAGCATGAGGAATTTCCTGCCAAATGTGCAATAAAATAAAAAGTCTAGCTGGTGGCCAGACGCTTCCATAACAGCATATTTAAAGGGCTAGCTAAGGGTTTTTATGTGAAGTTTCCATCGCTCTTTTGTTGGGAAATACATATAGAGGTTAACAACGCAAAGTTCAACCAAAATGCTCTCCAACAATAAACAACGTAAAGATTGCACATTTCCACATAGCCTACTGGCTATGGGCTAGTGGCGGAGACAGGGTGAAAAACAAAATGAAGCTTGCTACACAGGATTAACGTTTAACATTAGTGCAGTCTTTTAGCTGAACAAAGGAGTAATTTTTCCTGCTCTCCGTGGTCGATGCGGAGACCACCACACACTTGGGTCGCCACCTCAAACCAGACAAAAACTTGCATCCCCCGCTTTAACCACACATTCCCAAAAACTTTTCAAAAATTGCAGGCGACAAAATAGGTGTCAATGAAACCCATCGAAAGTGTCTGATATCCAACAGTAAAAAGAAAAGCGGAGACTCGCTAGGGGAAAAACATAAAACTTCAAGAGAATTTCCACCTCAGTGCATGAAACGCATTGGAGCACAGTATATGTCTTCCTTTTGTCCCGGTAAGCCTGCTTTGCACACCGCGCCCACGTGTTTGCTTCAATGTAAAAAGTCTGTGTGCAAACACATCTATTATACTAACTAATCTCGCGTCTTCCTTTTTTGTTGTTACAACTGAGATGATTTCATTCTTCTCGTAGACATCTTCACCACCTCCGTCCACATTGTCAGACGCAACAACGTATCCCTCCGCACAAAAGTGAGGGCCTCAACGCCAGCGGTGTCCGATTTCAAACGCCTTTGAGAGACCGGGTGTTTTTACAGAGAAAAAAATATAGCCTTAATGTCTCCCGATGGCCCAAACAACGGTAATGAATAATGCCGACGCGCAGTTTTGCGTACTGAATCTGCAATCCTCAAAATGCAAGAGCGCTAGGAGCACTATGTTGTCCAGCGGAAGGTTATCCTAAGAAAGTTACCTGCGATTACACAGCAGCCGCTTGAAGAGATGGCACGATAAATGCGAAAGAGCTCAGCCAATAGAAAAATAGATATGGTTGATTGGCAGCAACGACAGCCAATGATGGGCAGGGATTCCAACGTGTACCCGCCTTCTTCTTGACGCTCACTTCCCCCTGTGTGCTCAGAGAGGCTGGCTGAGGGGGCTCCAACATGCCCGCTGACATCATTTTATTATTGTGCTTAATGTGTCCGCTGACTTTTTTTAAAACCTCAAGCTAGGAATTTTTTTCATAACCGCCTCAACTGTAACTGTGCTATAATTTAAATTTAGCAGTAAAATTTTGTCTCAGCATTTAAGTTATGCTACATGTTAAAGTAGCTCCCATATATTTTTCTATATCATTACAACTGTTTTTTGATGATTTTTTTTCATTTGCTATATTGTTTTCTTGAACACTAGGCTACTGTTTTGTTTTAGTTTTCACACAGTAGTTACTTGCAAACCTATTATCATTATAGGGATGTAGTTAACATTTTTTCTTAGAATTTGTTGCTTATTTTAAAAAGTGGCCATTATAGTTTACTAAAGCCTTAGGCTACATATTCAAATTACATGGCTTTAGATGGCCACAGTCCAAAACCCTATAATATTCAGTTTACTATTATATAAGACAAAGAAAAACATAATGTCCTCACAGTAAAGAAGCTGGACTTAGTAAATGTTTGACACCTTTGCTTTAAAACCATTAAAAAAATGAATAGCTTATTAAAATAGTGGCAGATTTATTTTTTGTCAGTCTACCAATTGATTACTTAACTAAACGTTTGGGCTGTAATTTTTATGATGCCAGACTTTTGTGAATGAGCTGATAAACATGAGACCAACGCACCCCTAACTGCCTGCTCCAGAGCAGAGAGGAGGGCTAGCAGAGTGTACTGGTTCACTCACGAGGTGGGGGGGGGGATACTGGATAAGCAACTCAAATTTGTCTGTAATGTTAAAATGTTCATTTTACAAGATAACAAAACCATTATATTATCTGAAATTAAGTGCAGTTCAGTCACCATGATGATAATGAAATGCTTAAGATGGAATAGGTTTAGATGACCCTAATATGTAATGTTTTCGGACTTTATTCAATAGGTGCATGACATCCCTATGTTATCACACAAAGCCACACAATAACCCCTCTATTGAAAAGTATATGTAGGTGTTAGACAGCTGTTGTTTTTAGCTACAGGGCAAACCTTTTCAGAGAAGAGGGAACTTAAGATGACCCTCCTTTGTTTTCTGTCTACAACATCTAAAATTACCATGTTATATAAACATTCATGGCAGACATTAAGTATTGGCCTATTATTGTAGAAAGACAGAAGACAATAGCCACAGAAAGATTTCTTCACCATCGCAGCACATGTTTATCACTATGAACCACTACAAAGGCTACAGTGACTCAAGTATTTTTTGAGTCACCATGTGGGCATGATGCACATGTAATGGGTGTGAGCTGTGTAAAATTTAGAAAATTAAGACATGGCAGATGCTAATTCTACATAGTTGCCTGGTGGTATTACACACCCCTGATGCCTCAGACTGTCTATCCGCACAAAGGTTACCAAAGGGAAGCGGGCTTTGCCGTCAATAGGACATATAGGTAAATAATCCACTGGGTGTC